CCATTCCCAGTCTCCCCGAGTTTTGTTCAATAAAGAGAGTTTCTATTTTTGAACACGTGTCCTTTATTTTGTACATCAGGAAGTGGGGCTAGGGAGGGATAAGTGGAAGGAGGTGAGGGAGGAATGGGGTACGAGCCCCCGATGGGGAGGACTGGGCTGGCTCTGTGGGCTCCTTGGGGTGGAAGCTCTCCTGAAGCCCCTTGATTGACGCCCCTCTCCGGATGGCAGCCTGCGGCAAGTGCAGCCGGGCTGATGGCTGAGTGCTGTGATGTTCCGCGTGTGGGCACTCAGGGCACTCCAAAGTGGAAGGAGGTGAGGGAGGAATGGGGTACGAGCCCCCGATGGGGAGGACTGGGCTGGCTCTGTGGGCTCCTTGGGGTGGAAGCTCTCCTGAAGCCCCTTGATTGACGCCCCTCTCCGGATGGCAGCCTGCGGCAAGTGCAGCCGGGCTGATGGCTGAGTGCTGTGATGTTCCGCGTGTGGGCACTCAGGGCACTCCAAGCCAGGACTGCTTTGCTAGCGGGGAACCCCTGAGAACTGTCTGTCCAGGGTGGGGGTTGGGTCCCTTTAAGCACAGCCCTCGGCTAGCCTGAGACAGCAGCTCCGTGCTCTAAGTCCTAATCTGATGCCCTGCCGGCACTGCTTCCGGCCATCCTTAACCTCGGTTCAGGGTCCACTCAGTGTGGACATGCTAGTTCGAATTAGCAAAACGCTAATTTGAACTAGTTTTTAAGTCTAGATGCGCTAATTCGAATTAACTTAGTTTGAATTAACTAATTCGAATTAGTGCTGTAATGTAGACATACCCTTCCCCTTTACCAGCCTCCTCTTCTTTTCCTCCTGATTCCACTCTCTTGGCCTTCTGTTTCCCATATAGTGACTATTCCCTTTTCTGGCCTACCCCAGCCCTTATATTTCTTCTTTCCTGACCCCTCCCCAACTCTTTTCCTTTCCTTAACCAATTGTTACAGTGAGGAAAATTGGAAAGATGAGAGACAACTTGACGAGATCAGTACTAGGCCATCAGCCTGTTGACAGGATGACAAGGAGCAGCCCCTTCAAGATGACAGTCAAAATTCCTTCTCTTCCCTTCATATGGAAGCAGCCAAAGTGTTGAACAGGCACATAAAAATAAATTTAATGTACCTTTCATTCCACTCTGAGCTCTCTTCTCCACCTGCCCTCTGCCCTGCAACTTTCCTGCTGCCTTCTCCCTCTCTTTATCTGATATCCAGTCACCATTCAGCTCTTAGGTTCTATGGAACTGTAATAAATATTTCATTGATGCTCTAGGGATGGTGTGACCTGTAAAACTCAAGCCAATCAATCCAGTGGAATTTGAGTTCCATCTTTAATGTCAATTGGCAGAGAAACTGCCAGAGAACCGCCCAACCCCTATCCGATAGGAAAGGCTATATTTTGTGCCCTGAGCATGTCCCCGTATGCACCATTGGCAGCAGAAGAGCAGTGTATTACTTACAAAAGCATGCTTACTGGGCTATTGATACAAGGCAAAGCTGCCAAATGTAAGTGCCTAAAATAGCCAACGTAGCTATACTTTTTGGGGGGCATAAGGATCTTGTGAAAAAGGGGGTTTTGCACAAAAAGAAAACATTCACACGGCTTGTTATTGCGCAAAAGCCCCTAGTGCAAAAACAGATCGACAGAAAATATGCAAATGAGATAGGGACTCATGCAAAGGAATCCCTCGTTGGCATATTTTTTGCCGAGAAAACTCATAGGCTACGTCTAGACTACATGCCTCTGGCGACAGAGGCATGTAGATGAGGCTACCAGGCATTGGAAAATGAAGTGGCGATTTAAATAATCGCCGCTTCATTTAAATTTACATGGCTGCTGCGCTGAGCCGACAAACAGCTGAGCAGCTGTTTGTTGGCTCAGAGCACTAGTCTGAACACTCCCGCGCCGATCTGAAAGCCCTTTATTGACCTCCCCGTTATGCCTCGTAGGATGAGGTGTACCGGGGAGGTCGATAAAGGGCTTTCATGTTGGACCCGCGCATCCAGACTACAGCGCTGAGCCGACAAACAGCTGATCAGCTGTTTGTCGGCTCAGCGCGGCAGCCATGTAAATTTAAATGAAGCGGCGATTATTTAAATCGCCGCTTCATTTTCCTATGCCTGGTAGCCTAATCTACATGCCTCTGACACCAGAGGCATGTAGTCTAGACGTAGCCATAGTGTAGACAGCCTAAGAGTGCAGCTTTACTGGTATAAATCTACCCCAGGAGCACTGTGCTGATATGGTATATTGGCATAGCTACGGTGGCAAAGTTCTCCCACTGTAGACCTGGTCCTAGATTAGGCTACTGGGCAGTAATTGTCTTGGTGTTGATTCTTTATAGAGTGCCTACATAATGGGGCCTTGATCCTTGATTGGGATCCTTAGGCAATACCAGAACATAAATACCGTTCAAGCCCCATTATAACCATATTTT